GTGCAGGGGCCCCACTGGGGCTCGGAGGCCCGTCACTTACCCTTAGATTGACCCACCCGGTCCAGCCAGAGGTGTCCAGCTCGAAGGAGGCTCTGCCAGACTCGTCGGTCAGAAAGGTCTGGTTCTTATTCTTATCTCCATAGCTAACAAAGAGCTGCAGCTTCTCATTCTTCAGCACAGAGCCATCTTCCGTCTCCAGGAGCATCTGAGCCGGGAGAGAAATGGGGAGACGCACAACTCAAGGGAGCAGACTCCTGGGAGAGTGTTGCCCACTAGGTACTAAAGAGCTCGCTGGGAGCAGAAAGGGACAATGCAATCCAGCCCTGAGATGCACTGGGAAAGCCCAGGGCTGGGATGGGGTGTTGTGGTGAGGACTGAGGGGCATTAGCAGATCTGGGAAGAAGTTGGGGCAAGACTGGAATAGCTGGGGGTGCTGGGGTGAGCACTGAGGAGTGACAGGTTGTCTGACCCCTTGACTGAGCCCTCCCTTGGGATGTGGGACACTGCAGTCTAGCCGCCCCCAGGCCCTGAAACCAGGGCCTCAGATCTCCCAGCCCCATTGCTTTGCTTACACACATTCCCTCTGAGTCCCATCTGGGCTGTGGCCACACTGGGCTTTAAGATTAACCCCTTAGGGATAATGTGGTAGGCAAGCAAGGAACTCAGGGTTAACTAAAAAGAACAGGAGTACTTGTGGCACCTTAGAGACTAACAAATTTATTAGAGCATAAGCTTTCGTCGGCTACAACCCACTTCTTCGGTTAACTAAGGAATTTCTAAACCACAGTCACTTAGACAGCTCAAGAATTACAGATCTTTGCCAGAGAACAAATGTCCTGATGAGCACCTTTCTCTAGTCTGATCTCACCCTGCCTCTGACTCTGGGGTTTGTCAACAGTTCAGGCTGGGCAGAATCCCTCCCGCCTTGTCTGTCTCCAGCCAGTCCTTCTGGCATGTGGTGATGGTCGGCACGGCTGCACAGAGCAGCGCCCCTTCTTAAGTAGAGCCTCTCTGGACCCTTCTGCCATGTGCTCAGCTGGAAAACTCCTTCCCCCTCCCCCAGACGTGTTCACCCCACCTGCGGGCCCTTGTGTAGAAATAACATTGTTCTGCGGGGGTGGGCCAGTGTAGTAGTAGGATTTTATGTTTGTATTTTATATAATTTAGAATGAAGGATAAAGAATAATAATGTAGCATGTATTAAATATATTGGTGTATGATTTGCCAGCCACCCTTTTTGAATAGCAGAAAGGAATGGCCTAATGGGCTATTGGTAGAGATACATCAGCCAGAATCTGTGTCTGTGCTGATTTCAAGGCAGTGACAGACTTTTGCGGGTCACCAATTTGTTGTAGGTTTAGCATTTTAAAATAAGTAAAAGAATGCGGTGATTGTTTTTCTTTTGCATTTCAATTTGATGTTCCTGTTCAAAATGTTCTGTGAAATTAATTCTGTTTTGCGAGTGAATGAGGAATGTGCGTGTTAAGAGAAAAGCGTGAAGGCCATCGCTGAGCCAGATGTACAGGGAGGAACCGGAGACAGACGCAAGGGCGCCAGGAGGCTGCAACACGCCCCTGTTGAAATGGGCAGATTGACGACTCTAAAGATGAGACAGGCACCTATCACTGGGGACAAGATAGCTGTGATAAAGAATGAGAAGGACAATTTAAGAAAACAAGCACTCATCAAACAACAATTGATTACAGCATGACGGTGCAAAACTCATTGGTCCCAATGCAGAAAAATCACTATATAAACAGGGTGCCTTGCCATGAAACTTTGGGTTCGTCCTGCCAAGACTTCCCCGGAGCATCATGTCGCGAACAACAGAAGCCGGCTCCTCCCTACCTGTGATCAACCTAGCTGGCCACTAGGTTGATGCGGACTCTGGACTGGTAACTATAACATCGACTGGCGGGACAGTGTGTGTGTGTGGTGTGATTGAATGCATATGCTAATTGTATATCTTCAATAAACACAGCGTATTTCCTTTTCCCCTGAAAAAGATCCTGTGTGCTTTTTATAAGCATAACACCAGTAGTTGAGAGACAATCAAAACTGATGGCACTAGATTGCCATCTTGAGAGCTTCTCCATGATAGTCCTTCAACAAAGTGTCACGCACCTTTTCTAGGCTGGGCACCTGTCGAGAATACAATATGATAATCTGCCTTGGGTAAATTTAGGCATGTCACAGCACATAATACAATGGGAAGGTACTTACCTGTTAGTAACTAGAGTTCTTTGAGATGTAGTGTCTATATGTGCTCCACTTCTGGTCTGCGTATGCCCCATGCACCGGAGATCTGAATGCATTAGCCACCAGTGTCCATTGGTTGTGCCTGCACCCTGCATGCCTCCCTTGGGAGCTGGGATCTAAGATATAACTAGTAAGCTGTGGTGAACTGATCCTTTGGGAGCAGCAGGCCTGGTAATTCTGTGAGTGCCCAGAGGAGAAGGGGCCGGACACTACAGGGAACGCTCCGAGGACCGGGGGCTATTACTCCCAGATCCTTTCCAGCAGCACTATCACCTGGCCAGGTGTTCCTCATTTTGTAATTGTTCATTTGATTTCTCCTTCCTAAGTGACATCTTCATCATGTGAGCCCATGGGAAGGAGACCCTTGAAGAATTCCACCCGGATTTCAACAATTTCCACCCCATCATCAACCTCAGCCTGGACCAGGCCACACAAGAGATCCACTTCCTGGACACTAAAGTGCAAATAAGTGATGGTCACATAAACACCCCCCTATACCGGAAACCTACTGACCGCTATACTTACCTACATGCAGAGGTGAAAGTGGGCCGGTAGGGGCCGGTATGGAGGACCGGTAAGAAAAGTGCAGGAGCGTACCAGCAAGAAAATGGAGCATTCTCTCCCTCTCTGACTCCTCCTCCTGGCTCCAGCAATACTGAGGGTCCGGGGGCCCGGCTCCACCAATGTTTGGGGCCCGGTCTCCCCCCTGGCACCACCTGCTGCCCCCCCCCGCGCCTCCCCTGAGTATGGGCTGGCCCCCCTTTGCTGCCCCCATGCACCTCCCTGGATCCAGCTGTGTCTCTCCCCTGCAGCTCCATGCTGCCTGCCTGCATTAACTGCGGCCGCAGGGTCCTAGTGCCCCCCTCCACTACTGCCAGGGCAGGCTGCCCTTCCCCCTCAGATCCTTTCATTTTCAGGTGGGACCCTCCACCAGTACAGCCGCCCCCCCTGCCCGCAGTCACTGCTCTTGCCCCATGCTGGGCAAGGGGCAGCACCATCCCCCACCCCCAGTGAGGCTACAGTGAGGGGCAGCAGCAGGGGAGGAGGCGCACATGTGATAGCAGCCCCCCCGGCATGGCACCCACCACAGGGGAGGCGAGGGGGATTCCTGGACCTGAAAGGGGCCCTAGAAGCACGTGCAGTGACAGTGGGGGGGTGAGTGTGCTGCCGGGGGGAAGAAGGGGGTCCCTACCCCAGAGCTCACTGCTGCCGGCAGGGAGAGGGCTGGGGAAGAGTCCTCCTTTCTGGCTCCAGTCCCAGGGCAGCCTGCCTGCACCCCAAACTCATTCCCAGCCCTGCCCCACCCCAGAGCCCACACCCCCAGCCGGAGCCCTCATCCCCCTGCACTCCAACCCTCTGTCCTAGCCCTGAGCCTCTCCAACACCCCAAACCCCTCATCTCCAGCCACACCCCAAATCCACCCCCAGCCTCACCCCACAGCCCTCACACCTGCACCCCCTCCCTCCGCACCCCCTCCCATCCCCAAATTCCCTCCCAGAGCCTGCACCCTGCACCCCTCCTGCACCCCAGTCCCCTGCCCCAGGCCAGGGCCTGCATCCCAGACATCCTCCCCCACCCAAACTCCCTCCCAGAGCCTTGGGCAGGTCGGGGGTGGAGTTTGGGGGGGGCAGAGTTTGGGCAGGGGCAGGTTCTGGGCACCACCAAAATTTCTACAAACCTGCCGCCCCTGCCGGCAAGAGCTGGTGTACCATACTGGGGTGGACCGGCTTCCTGAGGCAGCAATTTAAAGGGCTGGAGCCCAGGGCCCTTTAAATTGCCGCCAGAGCCCCACTGCTGGAGCCCTGGGGTAGCAGCGGCGGGGCTCGGGTGGCTATTGAAAGGGTTCGGGGCTCCCGCTGCCTCTACCACCCCAGGCCCTTTAAATAGCCACCGGAGCCCTGCCGCCACTACCCCAGGGCTCTAGCAGCAGGGCTCCGGAGACGATTTAAAGGGCCCTGGAGGGCAGTGGCAGTCGGAACCCCGGGCCCTGCTGCTGGAGCCCTGGGGCTCCATCAGCAATTTAAAGGGCCCGGGGCTCTGCTGCGGTAGCAGCAGCTAGAGCCCCAGGCCCTTTAAATTGCCCCCTTTAAATCGCCCCCAAACCCCAGGGTTCCCAGTCACCTCTGCAGCTGGGAGCTCAGGGGGTGATTTAAAGGGCTTGGGGCTCCCAGCTGCTGCTACCACAGCCCTAGCCCTGGGCCCTTTAAATCCTGATTTAAAGGGCCTGGGGATTTAAAGGCCCCGCCTCTTCCGGTGGAGGCCACGCCCCTCCACAGGACTCCGGAGTACCGGCAAGTCCTTTAAGTTACTTTTACCCCTGCCTACATGCCTCCAGCTTCCATCCAGGACACATCACACGATCCATTGTCTACAGCCAAGCCCTAAGATACAACTGAATTTGCTCCAATCCCTCATAGAGATACAAACACATACAAGATCTTTATCAAGCATTCTTAAAACTACAATACCCACCTGGGGAAGTGAGGAAACAGATTGACAGAGTGAGACAGGTACCCAGAAGTCACCTACTACAGGACAGGCCCAACAAGGACAATAACAGAACACCACTGGCCATCACGTACAGCCCCCAGCTAAAACCTCTCCAGGGCATCATCAATGATCTACAACCTATCCTGGAAAACGATCCCTCACTCTCACAGACCTTGGGAGGCAGGCCAGTCCTCACTTACAGACAGCCCCCCAACCTGAAACAAATACTCACCAGCAACTACGCACCACACCACAGAAACACTAACCCAGGAACCAATCCCTGTAGCAATACAGCACCCTTGGGGTAAGTGACTGTCTGTAGTCTGTAGTGTGTGTTTGTTTGTGTTTGGGGGTTACTTGCTGTGTGCTGAGCTTGTGTTTGTCAGTCTGTTTGTTTGTTTGGTTGTTTGAAGGACCGTGTGCTGTGGCTGGCAGTTGGAAGCTGTGAGCTTCAAA